AAACAAACCAAAAAGGCGCTCTCGAGTCGTCAAGACGCTCAAGAGGATGTGCGAGCGGAGAGACACAATTTCGACACAATTGAGGCAAGTGGTGCCAGCATGAGCGCATCAATGGCTCGCAGCAATCCACGCACCAAGCAGGGCTGGCGTTGTGAGAAAAACTAACACAAGGGGGGCTAAAGGCCAAAGGCTAAATAAGACAGCCGGATTGGAGTCAGTCACATGTGTTACGAAAAACACACATCTAGCCGGATACCGACAAGAAAAGTAGTCTCGCGACTCGCGACACACTTCTAACAAAGTAAACACCAGACGGCATTTAGTCCCGCTGAGCTCCAGGCGACCCGCCCAAAAAACAGTACTACAGTTCCTCCCTGCTAAATCACTTGTGAGCCTGGGTCTCTTTCTGTCTCTACGTGTCTGGCTGCCTTTCAGTCTCTGTTACACATGCAGACAAATACATATACGGCAACTCTGTCGATACAAGAACACACAGAGACAAAATGCACCATTCAACGGGCTTCTATTTACCTGAGCTCGTCAACAGTCATGCCGCGCGCCGCCGCCACGTTCTGGAAGTGTTCCTGGATAGCGTCCACCAAAGTCTTCCCGGGGACGTACTCCATGATGAGCGTCGACGGAGTGGCGTGGAAAGCTTCCGGTACAACCACCTGTCCTTGTGGCCGTTGTCGTCGTCGTCCGTCATCGGCGTTTCAGTTGTTGGTCGAATAATCGTTGGCGGAGGAGGAGGAGGAAAACAGGGGTAGCGTACATAAGCCAGGAGCCAAAACGATACACACGACAAAAAACAGAGAGAGCGAGAGAGGAAAAAAAATAATGCTTTCGATGAAGAATGGACCGAGAGACACGATGCGGGACCGATCGCTTTTTCGACGTAAACAGAACGACTGCCCTTTTCTCTCTCTTTTTTTTGTCGCGCCCGCGCGCGAAAATGTGAAACGTCCGGGGACAAAACGTCACTGCTGCTGCTGCTGCTGCTGCTGCTGCTGCTGCTGCTGCTGCTGAACGGTACACGAGACCAGGCAGAACTAAATGCCAACAACAGCACAACGTTCCAGGGCAAATCAGCTCGGTTGTGCTTGCCGTGTGCTGATAGCAGTACCGTGCAAGCACAATTGTACGGCCGTGTGTTGACAGCGGTCCCGTGCAAGCACTACGGCGCGCGCACGAAACTTAGCGCGGCATGTGTCCTACCACCCTTCTGCCCTCTGTCTGTCTGTCTGTCCATCTGTGTGTGCGTCTCTCTCTCTCTCTCTCTCTCTCTCTCTCTCTCTCTCTCTCTCTCTCTCTCTCTCTCTCTCTCTCTCTCTCTCTCTCTTTCTCACATGCCTCGACCACGCCTTCCGCATGTTATTGCGCACGAGTTCCAGGTTCTTGGCCTCCTCGCGGAAGTCGAACTCCGTCAGGAACTGCTTCTCCACCTCCTTGAGCATCACCAGGTGCTCCGGCTGGGCCAAGGCGCAGAAGTCCTTCATCGTCTTGATGTCCGACCGGAACATCGTTTCCACGCCCGGGAACATCACCTGCGTAGTAGGTAGACAAACACGAACTATTGCAGACGGCCTTTACTCCTAAGAGACGATCTCTGATGTCGTCTTGCCGGGGACCCTACTGGTTTGCATGTGTGTATAGTCTGTCTGGGAACATCACCTGCGTAGGAACCAAGACAACACGAAAAAATACCCGAAATGTACGGGTGGTGCGCACTCAGGTAGGGCAGTCGTCTGATGTTGTGCTGCAATGCGTCGGGCGAGAGCAATCAATCAATCAACCAAGCACCGCCAGAGAGAGAAAGCGTAAAGCATGGCTAGTATTAAAAGGAAGAGGGGCGAGCGGCACGTCATCGTCCCTCCCACGACACGCCTTTGCGACCAAAGACTAGCCCAGGTCGGGCCAGGCTGGGCAAGGCGCAGCGCCGGTGTCGCAGAGCCAAAGCGAAGCGCAAGCATAAAAAACTATCAGCAAACTCGGGACCACCAAGCGTACCTTCACCACAGCTTGCCGGCCGTCCTTCATAGTGACCCTGTGCACCTGACCTATGCTGGCGGCGCCAAGGGGTCTTTCCTCGAACGAGCGGAACATCGTGTCGATCGGCTGGCCTAGGGACTGTTCCACGAGACCCCTGAGGGACGACGGCGACGGCGGCGGCGGCAGCAGCAGCAAGCAGCAACGACAGAGACGGAAAGGGTTTGGCGAGGAACCCGCCGGATGCGCTTGTACGCACGCCAACTGAAAAGGTTGACGCCAGAATGCTGCAATCAGAGGATTGTGTCGTCCGGCTGTTGATTGCACGAGGGGAACTCGTAGACGGGGAGCGCCCAAGGAGCCGAACTGGCACTCAAAATGCCATTCTTGGTCTTTCACATGAGGGGCTGATGCTCCGCTTCTGCTGGAGGCCTGGTTGGCGTGTTATTGGTTCGCAGCTGAACTTCACTAGGAAGACTGGGTTGATCCCCCCCACCCCCCCAAACCCCCCTTTCTTCTTGGTTCTGTCTCCCTCTCTCGGACCGGCTCGGGTCGGCAAAGAACCGGTCATGCCATAAATAACATGGCTCTTTCCTCGCTGTCGATTCTTCGGTACACGTTGCTATCATATTACACGACCATAAGAAAAAAAATCTGTGTCAGGGGTTGGTCCACTAATTTAACACAATCACCAATGGTGTGCTCTCTACAACATGCGGCAGAGACGCCCCTTCTGGCTATCTAACTTGCTGGCGTCTCGCACAACATGTGGCACAAACATCATGTCAACAGATCAGTGGGAAAAGAGCGAAACAAAAAAATAAGGACAGTCCAACACCAAGAGAGCTCGGGGACCGCTCTTTCCCCTGCCTGAAAAAACAGTCGAGTCGAGTCCACCACAAACAAAGTTCGGGCACCGCTCGCGTACTTAAGGCCCCGACTACTGCTGCTGCTACATCTTGCCTGATGTAGTCTAACGGTTCGGCTGGGGTGTCGCTCTGCAGCATCTTCACCCTGTCGTAGTACTGCGGCGGCAGAAAGTCCGCACGAGTCGACGCTAGCTGCCCGATCTGCCACATGAAAAAAAAACACAGAAAGACGCCGAGAGAAGACACCGACAGCAGCGACAGTGCTTATCCAGCAATGTGCAGCAGTTGCAGGTGGGTAAACGTGCGTTGAGTGGACAATAGTAGGACGAGAGAAATGTCTCGAGTGTGCATCTGACTCTCTTGACACGATCGGATCTATCTTGCAAACTACCAATATGGCGCAATAGGTTTTGGCATCCTCCTATGTTGTATTCACAGGTTGAACACCGAGATGTGGCACAAACAAGACACGGATGGCAACATATCGGCCCCAGACCTTGCCTTGCCTTGATGTAGAAACCTTTGAGTCTGAGGATGATGTCCACAGCCTCTTTAGCGTGCGCGTCATGGAGGGGTGCATAAGCTTCGTCCTTAGATGTCGAATGTGCAAGACGACGAACGGAATAGGGCAAAGAGACACGTAGACAGGACGTAGGGGAGAGGGAAGAAGGAGAAGGGGACAGGCGAAAGGGAAGCGCAGGGAGGGGATAAGTCATCTTGTGAAAAGAGGGAATCGATTGTACCTATATGAAGGTGGTCTCCACAATCTTGTTCGTTTTTTCAGCCGTGTCGTCATCGACCACCCATCCATAACGAGACGCACCACCGTTTTCCACTCCCATAGATAAATAGACAGTTGGGATGGGGGGTGGGCTGATCTCCTCAACACTTGGTATTCTGTTTCAAAGTTGGAGTTGAATATAGAGGACATTGCACGCTTTTGCAGGTGCTGTCGTCTCTGTTTCTGTACTGCGGCTGTTCTGTGGCCAAAGAAAACGTGCTAGGTCTGGAAATAGCCGAAAGACCCTCCCACTAACCTGTTCCTTTTCGGGCAGTCCGTCTACCTTCCATTGGACCACGCGATATCTCAGCCAGATCGGCAGCGCCTGCGACCAAAATACTGCAGCAGCAAGAGCAGCAGGAGCAGCGTTTCTGGTTTGTTGTCGTGCGGTCCAACCAGGGGTGGGGGGGGGAGGGGGTGGCCGTACGACCATCATCGTAGCCCTGAGCAACGGCACAGCTCATTGAAAGGTTGTAACAGAGGCGAACGTGGGTGCCATCGATGCATGTGTTGTGCCATAAGCAACTGTTCGCTATGGAAAGAAAACCCAGCACCTTAATGTATATCCAACACCCCAAACGAAGGTCGCCGAATTCCCCCTGTGAAAAAACTCCGTGAAAACTGAAAACGTCCATGAACCCTCCACGAGCCGGGGAGAGAAAAGAGAGACGGGCGGGGAGGGGGAGGGACGTTATCGACGGGCCAAGAGGATGCCAGCGGGTGAAACGTTTACCACGCACGGGGCCTGGACGCGGAGGTGCTGGCCGTCGTGGTTTATGGCGCGAACATGTAGCGACCTCCAAGACGGTTCGGTCGCCGGAGTCAAGGCAGCTAGCTATGTAGCTATCGTTTAAAACCCAGAGACTTTTACGCCTTCTCTAAAACCAAGTGGTTTGGGGTTGAGCGTGCGAAAAATTGTTGCCGCCAGCAACAGCAACATCACCCCAATTTATAACCAAGTGGTTAGGTGTGGAGGATGCGAAAAAATATGCATACAAATTGAAGTATATTTTCTCCCAGCCAGCAACATCAGCACCAGCGGGGCAGGATTGCTAGAGGTTGAGAAAATAACTCCACTGTGTATCATTCATTCAGGCACCGGCCAGCTTTGGGTGGGCGCGACGCAAGCACAGCAGCAGAGCTCTATCCACAAGAGCACTCCTGGTATATAGGCCTCGACTGGTTCTGCGAGGGGACCTCAGAACCCTCCGACCGACCCCCTCGCTCGCTCTCAGCGGGGGGAATAACCTCCATGTTGCTTGCTCTGCTGTGGCGCTGAAGGCAGCAGCAGCAGCCGACCTCTATGACGCTCCCAGTGGCCAGCAAAGCAGATCCTACGAAACTGACCGCCCGAGTGTGATGGAGGGGCGGGACAGGACGCGAAAATTTTTGCCATTAGCGACTTTTGGGCACATGTAACCCCTGTGCTCAGCAAGTATTCCGCCGCCCGCTCCTACTCGCCGCCCGTGGTGTGAATCAATCAACACGCTTGCTTCTTGTTCTCACTTGCTGATCGCGAGAGACCGAGCTTGCTTTTCTCCCAAGCTTCGGGATGCTCTCTGGTGTGTTGGTACCCTGCTCCCAGGACGGCACCGGAAGCTACCAGCAGCGCTGTGTGTTCGTCAACGAGGAAAACACACGAGAAACGACAGCAATACATTCAGCGCTCTTTTACTTAGTCTCATCAATGGAGAGAACAGAATGCCACAACGGGCATAGACTCAGACTCACGCCAACAGCAGAAGGCTTTGTTTAGTTTGAAAGCGTGGTCTACACCAAACAGGCTTTGAAGGTGTGATTCGGTGGAAGGAGAGTGAAGTCATGCGGACAGCAGTGCGGAACCTGTACCTAACCAGTTCTTCGTAGACATTGTGTGACATTTGACGTCATGACTACAGACTACAGGCGACTATTTAATATCAATTATTCACATCGAGATACAATTGCATTGCAACATCGCACCTGATCTTCTCAAGCGCACTAGGGAGCTCGACATTTCGCAACAAGAGAGAGAGAGAAATAAGGCAGGGAGACAGGTAGCTCAGAGAAGCCTCGTGTTCCTGCCTGGGTAGGCAGTGACAGCAGTGAGCTGGCTAAGCAACGGCGCCGGGGAGGGGGCACGCAGACAAATATTTCGCATCCTAGCTTCGCACGTGCCCCTTCCTCCAAATCGTGAATCGTGAAGTTTGTGGAGAGCAGAGCAGAGAGATACCAGGAGGGAGGGAGGCGCGCGGCAACACCAGGGCAAACTGCCATCATGCCGCGATTGGCTCCAATGCAGCAGCACTTTGGGGCGGTCATCTCGGATCGCGAGCCGGAATCGAAGGATCTGGCAGCCTCGCAAGAGCTGGAGAAGTTTCTCAAGGCGATGGGGTTGTACGAGAACGCGGAGGGATCGAAGAGGCGTAAGGTGCGCTCGCTCGTCGTTTGCAGGACGCAGGGGCTGACGTCTGGCATGTGGCAGTGGCGTGGGTTAAGAGGGTGCTCCCCGCGCGGGAGAGCGGGGAACATAACGGGGGCTGCTGTGTGTGGTGCTTGCTGTGTGTGTTGAACAAATGCGAACGTTAGTATATTCGACGTCTATTTCCCCCCCGATTTCAAAGAGAGAAAAAACTTGCTTGTGTGAGAGGAGAGTGAGACGGAAAATATAACAGCGGGGCGCGTGTGTATGTGCGCGAATTGGTCGGAACATGGCTGCGGTTCGAATTGCGGGATCGCGAGGAGCCTTTTACAGCAGTAGCAGCGATGGCGAGTTCACACGTGCACGCCGGTGGACGCAGCGTGTCGCGCCATGCATAGAAGGAAAAGCGCCCACTCTCTTGAGCGCGGGTACCGCTCTCTCTCAGCCGATCTCGGCTCGGAGTAACTCGGTCACCTGTCTGCCTCTCTTCTCGCTCCCCCCCTCTCTCCCCCCGCCCTCCCGCGTTATATTCCCAGTTACGTGGGCCGGGGTCGCCATCCGGGTGTTTGCGTTGTATGTACATATGTTGTCTGGTCGACACCATCCTGTCCTGGTGGCTTGCAACCTAAACCGTTACACCACACACGGTAGACGGCAGTTCATCTCGGGTCTCGAGTCTGGCCGGATGCCGCAGACATCCCGAAGAGCCTGGGAAAAAACGTGCATGTATATTGTACTTAGTTTGTGCTTGTATGATACTTGCTTCTGCGCGCGTTCTCAAAACACCTTACCTGCCATCTCCGCAAGAAAGCTTCCTCTCTCCGTCGAATGAATTCAATTTCAGACAAGTTTTAGCAGTCTTTGGAAGGAAGGCGGCCACTTGCTACCCATGTGCGGGGCTGCCTGTGCCGAGGCTGGTGTGTGTACAACAACGCCGGAATGTACGCAACTCCAACCGCTGTACGTAGATAGATACGAGAGTGGCCTATGAAATCTAAACTGCGCTGCGGCTGCGGAGGAGCGCGTTACACACTTCGTACGCATGTAGACCCTACATGCGGCTCTCTCTCGTTGTCTGTATCAACGCAGTGGGGTTGGTCTCCTTCCGTTGTCTCCTTTGCTTTCGCGGTAGAGAGTGCACTCAAGCCCCCCAACGGCATGATACCATTGAAATAGGACTTGGAGCACGTCGTGTGTACGCGGTAAATCTTCAAATTTGATCCTGTACGTATTGTAGGTATCCCTGGGTATCCTTGAACCTAGTGCCAAACACGAAAGTCTGTACGCATCTACAATATGCATACCACAAACCAACAAGGGCGTGGGGCTGGCTTTTTGTTGATGGTACAGACGGGTGCGGGAATATGAATATGAATATTCGTGCGGCCTCGAAGACTACTGCTGTGCGCCAGCACCCTCTGAAGGCGAAGATGTACAGCACTGCTGTGCCGTAGGGTCTGTCCTACACCTTCCCACCGTTTACGTGTTTTTACGTAATATGCTCGAAGGTTGGTTATGTTTCCCCCACAGATACAGTGTACACAGCTGTACATATAGTGTAGTATCCCACGCTGTCAGGTACCGAAACCCACTTTTGTCTGAATGTAGGCGTACGTGAACAGAATGTTGAATGTTTCACTGCAAAAAGTTGACATCCCCTTCGACAACGGTGGTACGGTGCTTTGCACGAACGGGTTGTGGTCTCTCAGTGACAGCAAGTTTTTTTCTTTCGAAATGTCTTTTTTCAGGTCTCTCGGGCTATTTCTCAATTTTGGTGATTTTTTTCGCTGTTACTGTCCGTGATGCGGCACAACACACACCAAATATCAAATATTCGGGAAGAAAAAAAAGTCCGTTGCCATCTTTTCCAGAAGCCTCATCTATCTAGGTAGTCCTTATCATTCAGATCGGCCGTAATCCACGTGCTGGGTGTCCAGAGGCATGCCTCGGGCTTCTCGGATGGGCATCTTACACCTCCCTACCCAACCCTTACCCTTAGGATCATGAGGCTACGGTTGTTCCTCGGACCGCAACAAAAAAAGAGAGGCCCTCTTTACAACGTATTTGCCGAAGTTGCTCGAGCTATGTACCCTGACGCCACAAGAAACGGCATGCAACTTGCTGTTCTCGAGGAAAAGGTCCATGTTTCGACACGCCCTCCCTCTGATGTTGTGCTCGTCCACGATCTATGGTCCAGCTGTGCCAGCTGTACACCTGCGTGGAAAACACCTCCAATTGCGTCGAAAACAAGCCGACCGCTGTTAAGATATTGGAAGGACGTTATTCCGACTAGAAGGACGCAGCAGAGCAGCTCGACCGCTTTGCCATGATGCCGCTGTTTATATGGTAGGCAGTCTTGACGTCGTTATCATTGGTGGTCTTACCCATTCATTTTTTATTTTTTAGGCGGAAGCGCGACGAGGCAACAAAAACTGACGCTTCACTTCGCGTCGAGTAAAGGGTTGGCATTATCATTTCAGCAGCTACATACAACGTTGAGGTACTGCGAAATCCTTAAGGAAGCATGCCTGGGGGGCTTCTTCTGTTCCTTCGCTACTGTAAGTTTTGTCAAGTACTACAAGAAAGACAGAGTTTTTTTTTCCCCCACCTGCCGCGACACGGCAAAGAGGGACGGTTCTTTTTTCCTCCACGTGCGGCGACATGGGGTGTTTGTCGGCTTGGTGTAAAGATTTGTAGAATGGCTCTACTGTACCCGAGGTCGTGGTCGTCCAGTCCAGTGCAATACCCCTCCCGCCCCCCTTGCGCTGGTCGACAAATGATGAAATGACGTTCGTCTTTGCAATCTTGTCGTGTGCGTGCGTTCGTGTTCACCGTCAGGCGGTGCTGCTGATGCTGCTGAAGCTAGTGAAGGAATGGAGTGGGAAGATAGCGGCGGAGGAGGGCCTCGACAAGGAGGAGGTCTCGCCGGCCACTCTCAAGACTTTCGGCTCGTACCACCTAGGGTGAGAGAGAGGGAAGTGGGGGTGTACTCATGGTTCGCGTGCCTTGGCGGTTGGACCATTGACCACGCGTTCTCGAGAAGACGGAGCGTTGTTCCCACAGGACCGATCACCGATGGATAATCGTTCCTTCCTATTTTGCCAAATGTGGCTCAATAGTATTTTACCTATCCTATCTATCCTATCGGTGTCACATCCCGCCTTTGAGAGAGGGGCGGGGGGGGGCCTTCGAGAGTCTGGGTGCGTTTGGTGCTGGTGTGATCGTATGACAGGGGGGATGGGGGGAGGCAAGAGTGTTCGTGTTGTGAGACGGACTGCTACTGCGTAGCGAGCGAGCGAGCAACGCCGGGATCAGTCTACAAAGGGTGCCATGCGTAAAGAGTTGGATTGAGAGAGCGGAAGAGAGAAAAACGGAAGAAAGTGTTGTTGTCGTGCCTTTTGTAGATGAGCTCACCCCCGCTCTCTAAATACACCTCGAACCCAACGCTTTTCGCATGGGCATTCGTAGGGTCAAGGCTTACAATTCTGGCGTGATATTATTTTCAGAGCGTTTACTCTGGACAAGTGTGCATGGGACTTTTCTTTTGACGAGGGATGAAAGGTCTGCTGAACCTTCACATCAGACCGACACCCACATTGTTTGGCGCGCCCATTCTCTTCCTTTGCCCTTGCCGTAGTGCCCCCCCCCTCCCCCCCCCCCTGGTCTCCCCGTCCTCCTTAACCTTGGAAGCGTCTGCACCTTTTCAGAGTACTCTTTCGCTGGATGATGACAATTTGTGTGTGTTGCATGCTTCAAACGTGTGCTTTGCTGTGTTTGATCGCCGAAAGAGTTCACACGCCGGACGCGGACATCGATGTGCTATGCCTGGCACCTCGGCACTGCTCCCGAGAGTCGTTCTTCACCTCCTTCTGCCAGATACTCCGCAACCACACCGAGATAGACGAGCTATTCCCCGTGCCGGAAGCTTACACACCCGTGAGTTTTGTGTGGACGGTGGCGTGTTTTCTTTGTGGTCGTGTCCGTTAGCTACGGTAGTGAGCGCGTTGCTGTAGTCTAGTCTAGCTGTCACAACTATACGGTGAGAGCGTCGCTGTAGTCTAGCAGGTCTGGCGGCTCCTGTTGAGCTTCCCGCGGCTCTTGTTACGGTGCTGCTGCTGTAGCATGCTGCTGCGCACACAGCGTTTCTTTTTGCCCTGGGAGGCGAAAGAAGGACGACGGTTTCATGCGGCGCCACCCGGAGTCAGGACGCCTGTTGGGCTTTAGGAAAGCCATGCCACTCTTCCTCCTTGTCTTGGAGGTGTTCCACGGCCTTGTAGAGAGCTACATGTACTCGGCAGCAAGAACGGGGCGAGGCGAGGCGAGACATGTCACTCCAGGCTGCGGCCTCCGCGTGCTGTTTTTCGGGTTGGCGCCGATTTTATGTGCGTGCGGAGGCATAATCAGTTGTTGAGACTGAGACCACCAGTCGCATGCCGCCACTACATGACCGTTCTCTCAAGTCGGCTCTTGACTTGGTGGTATTTGATGGCGCGTTTCTCTCCCGTCTCAAATATTATCGTATTTTGTAGTAGTGACGACATCTCATATGGCGCGTTTTTCTTTCTCGCGTCGTACCCGCCCCCTCCGCCCTCCAGGTGATCAAGTTCAAGGCCCAGGGAGTAAGCATCGACATGCTCTTCTGCTCTCTGCACTACCCGAAACTGCCCCGCCTTTGCAACGTCCACGTCCAGGTATGTGACGTCATGTCATGTCATGTGCTTGACGTGCATGTATACCTCTGTAACAGGGTGTTGTGGCTTTGCCATGCTTGGCGCCTTGTTACAGGGAGGTTCATGCCGCTTACATAGAAGAGGAGTTTACTTGGTTTTGGAACGGGTGAAGTGTGCGGCCGAGGCTTATTTCGGCCTCCCTCCCGTCGTGATCGGTGAATCAGCCAAGCGAACTGCTACAAGGTCATGAGCGAGGCGCACCAAATGCAACGCAAGTAATTGTGGAAACCAGGATGTTTGTTATCTTCCCAGGGGTATGGACGCACATCATGCGACCAGTAAAGATCTGGAGACTGCGAACAATGTTCTACCGCTCCGATGTTCGCCAAGAAAACCCCCCCGAATACAGCGATACCCATTACGGTGAATCTCGGAGATGTGGAAATGCCCACGAGGATACCCTCTCTAACTCACCTCCCCCTTTCTTGAAACTAGCACGTCCGAGTAACCTGGGCCACGCTTGGCTACTCCTCGCCACATATCAAAGAGAGAAGAGTACCTCCGCTGGTGTAACGGTTGATCACCACTTCAGGGTCTCTGACTCTGTAGAGAGAAAGGGTATTCTCACAAACTTTTGCTCTCTTCCGAGGTTTGTTCTTCAGGCTCATGTCGCTGCTGCCGCTCGCTCGCTAAAAGGGTGGTGGTGTTCCTGCTTGGGTGTTTCCCTTCCAAATCGGCTTCGGCTTGATCCACGAAAGTAGTGCATAAAACTTTTCTTCAACAAAGCAGCGGAGATACATAGCGATGCGCTTTGTTCGTTTTTTTCTTTTTTCTTTTGATTTCATGTTTCTTGTCCCCGCGGGTTTCTCTTCTATTTTTTTTTTCTGCAGGAGCACCTGCGCCACCTGGACGATGCGGGAGTCCGCAGCCTTAACGGAGTGAGGGTGGCGGAGCTCATACTGTCCCTGGTGCCCAACCACCAAGCCTTCCGGACCACTCTCAGGGCGGTCAAGGAGTGGGCTAGGCGGCGGGGGGTGAGATTTGAGCGTGCGAGCGCACGCGACTTGCTTGCTGTCACTCGCTTTGGCTGTTTTTTGGTCGTGGTGTGTGTGTGTGTTGCTGTGAATGCATTGTAGGTTTGTCGCGGAGCTAGTCAGCTAGTGTTTGGGTGATGACCGGGAAGTGGGGGCAGGTGTCCGAGGTGTTTCGTTGATTTTTTGAATCCTTAAAACGGGTTCCTCCGTTGCCTACTACAAACAAAAAAAACAGGCGACTTTTGAGCATCTAAAGGCGTGACTACGCCGTAAACACACGCGCCGCCACACACGGCGTGAGTGTGAGTGTGAGTGTGGACGGGACAAGACATCCACAACAGGACAACACGCTCTCCCGCCCAGTTTTTCGGCGGTATTGGCTGCTTGGCATTGTGTCTCTCTGTGTGTGTTCGTCCTATCTGCTGTGTACAACACAGCACCTTTCGGGGTATGTTCAACGCACCAACCGGTCACGTCACCACACTCCTTCTCACACGCTCCTTCTCACACACACACGCACACGGATGCCACGGCTACTCTTACCACTCTTGTTGTCCTCGTCGCCGCGTTGTACATACAGATATACAGTAACGTGCTGGGCTGCTTGGGCGGGGTTAACTGGGCAATCCTGGTGGCCTTCGTGGTGCAGAGGTACCCCAACGCTTCGCCCTCGGTGCTGCTCACCAAGTTCTTCCTCATGTACCACCGCTGGAAGTGGCCCAACCACGTGTCTCTCAACGAGCTGCAGAGTCTCCAGGTGCCTGACCGCCTGCTTGCCTGCTTGCCTGCCTGCTGCTCTGGTGATTGGCCTACCCGGCCGCCAGGTTGTTGTTGGTGATTTCGCGTTATTTGTTGCGTAGTTTTTCTGTTCTGTTCTGTTCTGTTCTGTTCTATTGTTTTGTTTGTCAGTGGTGCATCATCGAAGCGGGTGAACACGCCTGCGTGTGGAGATGCACGCCCTCCCCAACGTCTGTCGTGTGGTCTCCGTACGCGTGCTTTCGTGTGTGTTGTTGATGCCTGGTTTTTGTCTGAACAAACCATCTACCCTCCGCGCCCTCGTTTTGCGTTTGAAATGAAATGAACGAACGAACGAAATGGTTGGCGCGACGACCGCACGTCCAACGCTAACTGGCGATAACGCAAGCAGGAGACGAACGTTACGGAAGGGCACCCGTTCCCCCTGCACGCCGTGTGGAACCCCGTGGCAAACCCGCGGGACAAGGCGCACCTCATGCCCATCATCACACCCGCCTACCCGGCGATGAACTCGAGCTACAACGTGGGGGAGCCGCAGATGCGCCTCATCAGAGAGGTTGGTTCTTTGGCTACTATTTTTGTGTATTTAGATGTATGTACACACAAGTTTATTTTATTGTTGCTTTTTTTATCGTCGTGCTTGGCGTGTGCGTGTGTTTGGCCGCACACGAGGTTTAGGAACTACTGTTGAATTTGTCGTTATAGATTCGGTTCAAGCTTGGCATGGCGCGATGCGAGGGAATAGTTGTTCAGCAGATGCGCTTGCCGACGGGCTTGATTGACGATACAGTACTATACCACCGTGTACCGCACTTCCGTGTTGTTGGCATGTTGACACGTTTGTTGACGCTGTCGAATGTGCACGACGTGTTGCCTTGCGCTCACAAGGCGCGCGCGTCCGTCTTGATGGTCTTATCCGAATTGAAGAACAAGAAGAACAACAGCAGTTGCCGTGACTTCTCGGGAGGACAATCCCACAGAAAGACACACATGTCCGTTGTACACGCGGTCTTGACTGGATGGGTGCTGACTATGTAGCTGCTGCCTGCCCCCCCCAACCACGACTGTTTTTTTTTGTTTTTTTTCTTGGAAAACAGGAGATCGCTCGCGGGTGGAGGATAACGAAAGGGATCAGCCTCGGCATTGCGAACTGGGCAAACCTGTTTGAGCGCAGCGACTTTTTCTGGCGATTCGAGCTATACGTACAGGTATGTAAGGATGGAAGGCGTCGCGTCCCTTGCATATCTCTCTCTCTCTCTCTCTCTCTCTCTCTCTCTCTCTCTCTCTCTCTCTCTCTCTCTCTCGCTCGCTCGCTCGCTCGCTCGCTCTTTTGGTGCCCCGCCGTGTTTTGTTTTTCCATTTCTTACGTATTGATACCCAGGGAAATCTTAGCGCTGTTTATATTTGGAGGGAGGGCCGCTTAGCTTAGCCCCTGTAAATATTTAGCCATCGTTTCTTTGTTTCATTTTTTTTCGTACACTAGACATGCAACGATGGTCTTGTCTTGTTGAGTTGAAACACAATGTTTTTTCACCGAGCTCGTCGGAGTTTTGGTCCCTGGGCGCCGCCGCACGTCAATCTTGAACACCTTAGCAGAAAAACCGTCAAAGCAGAAAAGTACTACTGGTTGGGTGAACAATTAGATTCGCAACGGCTGCTGGTGGCCCAATAACTTGTTTTTATGGCGCGAGACAATCGAGAGAGGGTGCCGTTTTTTTTTTTTAAGTATGCTTTGTGCGACTTTGCAAGCGGGGACCAAATGCAAACACCCGGTACGTATGCAGGAAATGACCATATCATGGTACGGTACGGTACAATTACCGTCTCATTTGGTAACCGTCTTCTTCGGGGCAGCCTTGTTTCGTGTCTTGATTACATACAGTAAACGACGCCGTGCCGACACAAATATCCTGTTTCTTTTCTGTTCTAGGTGGACATCTCGGCACGAAGCGCGGCGGACCACCGTCTGTGGTTCGGTTGGATCGAGTCGCGCATGCGCAGCTTCCTCGTGTGTCTGGACCAAATCGACGTGAGTCATTGTTTTTTCTCTTGTTCTCTTGTCCTTTTCCACCTCTTTTTGGCTCCGTGTTGTGTACGTGTCGTGTTTTTGTCACGTCTTCTGTTCTCTTGCATCTGCGTGCGGAGTGCGTGTGCGTGTTCGTTTGTTTGACTTTTTTCGTTTTCCGCGTTCAGCTTCATGGCGTGCGTCACGTGATGTTGTTGTTCGTAGATGCCCGTTCTCGGCGTTTCTCACGGCATGGCATGTCTTCGCTTGCGCGGGCTGGTGTATTTTTCGCAGCGTGGCACCTGCTCGGCTGTCTGTTTTTGAGATGGAATGATGGAATGGGGCATGGGACGGAACGCGGCGCAGGTGGTCGAGGCGCTCCCTACCCCTTCGCTAACCCGCCGCCGCTTGTTCCGCTGGCTCGATTGTCTGTTTTGGGATGGAATGATGGAATGGGACATGGGACGGAACGTGGCGCAGATGGTGGAGGCCTACCCGTTCGTTAACCCGCTGCCGAACCCGTATTTGACCAACGCTGAGACCGGGGCTGTGGGGAACTCGTTCTTCATCGGTAAGACACGGTTAAATTTATGTGCGAAGCGGCGCTTTGCTTGTGGAATTTTGTTTTTTTTGTGTCTGCACCAGTTTTCACGAGCAGATCGGTGAGAAACAAAAGTGATTCTTGATCGGTAACAACGTACGCGATGCCGGGAGATGAATATTTTGTGTGTGTGTTTATCTTAATTGGCATCGACGGGGCTATAGCCGGCTGACAAATGAAAAGACAATTCCGTCTTGTACTGTAGCGAGAAAAAAAACGCGAACAATTTCTAATCAAAGTGTGTGTTCTATTTTGATGTTTTCTGAGAAAATGTCACATACCGGTGTTGGCGCTGCTCTGCCTGTAATTTACAAACATTCGGCGCGGTGCCGCTATCTCGATCTCGATCGTCCGCATGCGTGGCGTGTGCTGCTTGTCGTGTCGTAAAAATGGGTGCGCTGCTGTCGAACGGAAAAATAGTTGGTCCCTTCGTCGAAGACGAGACAATGAAAGGGACCCCCCACCCCCTCCTGGAAGTAGCGATTGGCCATCGGTGATCGGTCCTGTGGGAACAATGCTCCGTCCACTCGAGGACGCGTGGTGAATGGTCTAACAGCTAAGGCATGCAACATGAGTATCCCCCCCCTCCCCCCCCCCGCCCATACCTCGGAGTAGAGATCGCAAACGACTGCTCGTGGAATGCACACATGTCCAAGGTAGCGGAAAAGGAAAAAAGCACGAGCAGGGAAGCTGCACCCAATACTCGCAAACCGGCACCTCTATACACGCATCAAATTGGCGGTTTTGAAGAGCGTAATCGTACCGCCGCTAGAGTACGCCGGAGAAGTATGGGAAGGAAATAAGAAGATAGTGAAAGAACTCGAGGCGGCGCAGATGAAAGCAGCGAAAATTATCCTAGGATGCTCCAAGCGCACAAGTAATGCAGCCGTAAGGGCAGAATTGGGGATCCAATCCCTACGGTCGGGAAGAGACGCAAGGAAGCTGGCATGGCAGTATCGCATGTGCGGGATGGGAGAGGAGAGGTTGCCGAAAATAGTATGGGAGGCGAAGTGGGTAAACAAAAAGAGGGGTAGACAACCCACGGAATGGGTCAAGGTTGTAGAGAACGTATGGAAGGGGTTAGACATCGACGAAGATGGAACGCTGGAAACGGAGGGTCTACAGGGGTTCAAGGAGAAAATATCTGTTGCTTGTGCCGAGAGAGAAGAACAGAATCTAAGGAAATAAACCAAGGATAAGGAGGGTCTAGAAGTGTACGGAATGTTGAAAGAAGGAATAGGGTTCAAGGATTACCTACATGGACCAATGGATGCAGGGACAAAGCTGAAGGTCAAATTCAGGACCGGGGACATAGGCCTTCGAGAACGTCGACGAAGAAATAGGACGGTAGACGACGAAGACGACAAGTTCAAATGTGATTGCGGCTTCGAATGCGAAGACCGTGTTCATGTAGTCGCGGAATGTCCGTGGTACGAAGAGGAGAGGGAAGTGTACATGACTGAGCTGGGAAAAATACAAGGGCCGTACAGGGAGATGTTTGAGGCATGGAATAGAGAGGAGAGGACGGTAGCTGTACTGGGGAGTAGGAAGTGGTTTGAAAAGGCGGGAAGGGATATCGTTAGGATAGACAGACTAGGGAAGACATTTTTGAGCCACCTTTGGCAAAGTAGGAAGGAACGATTGGCCATCGGTGATCGGTCCTGTGGGAGCAATGCTCCGTCCTCTCGAGGACGCGTGGTCAATGGCCTAACCGCTAAGGCATGCAAAACATAAGAGTACGCCCCCCCGCCCTCTTGCTTTCCCGTCCGTCGTCCTATGCCCTAACATGTTTGATCATTTGCTCTCTCTCGCTCTGGTGTGTGTTTCGTCTCCTCTTTCGTCCGACCGCTCGTTGTTTCCGTCGTATCGTGTCTCTCTTGTGTCTCCTGTGTCTGCGGCAGGGTTGGGTTTCCCTGAGGTCGCGAACGGAAGGAGTCCCTCAGGGGTGCCGGTCGACCTCACTCCCGCCTGGAGAGATTTCATGATGCGGGTAAGCCCCCCCCCCCCCTGCGCGCGCGTACATGCCTAAGCCCACGTACATGTGGTTGGTTCCAACGTGCACCGCGGATGTCTCGGTGACATTCCTGCTCCCTTGCTCAATCCCTCCCTTCCCGCGACGCGTGTGAAACATGCACGCACAGGAGAACGTTGTTTTCGTGGTTTTCGTGGTTGCGCGTCTTGATTTTTGTATTGTTACAGAAGGGAGGAACTTTCTGCTGCCTTCATGTTTTGAGTTTTGTCATGTTTTGTGCCACTTTCTTGTTGTCGGCGCCGATCGCGTTGAGCTGGGTAACCCAACGAAAACACGCCGCTTTTTCGCGGGACGAAGATGAAAAGAAGCAATTGAAAAGAAGGTGTTTCTCTTGTCTGTTTGTGTTTAGCATTCGCGTGTGTACGGCCGCATACGTACCATCCTCTTTTTTCTTTTATTGCCTCGCTGTGTACTAGTACCTGTTTTCCCGCACGCAGACAATGTGTTCAATCATTTTTCCTTGCCGTATGCTTGCGTGTTTTTTTTTTGCGTCGCGCAGGTGGAATTGTGGGGAGACCGGCGAAGACGGCGCGAAGGAATGGAGGTGGATGTCAAAGCCGTCAACGTGAGTGTGGGTTGGATATGTCCTCTTATTTTTTTGGCCGTGCAACCCTCTGTGCAATACGTATCATCGCGACGTTTTGTGCAAGACTCTTGCTTGCATTCTGTTAGGGTTATCTTGACGCTTCCCCGACTGCTGTGATCTCACCCCCCCCCCCCCCCCTCCTCCCCCTTACAGGTCCACCTCCCCTTTTCCCG